TCTTTGTTACGTGGTCGTCCGGTTATACGCGAGTTTTTTTTAACGTGATTCGTCGACGAGGAAGATCCTCCGAGCTCTTGGAAGATCATCGGCTCGCCACGGGACTCGTTCATGGGACAGTAAGGTCGCACCGTGCTCAAAGAAATACTTCTTGCGAAAGGTACCACTATTTATCATTGTATCAAAGCTCGTGGCACTTGCAGGGACTTCGATGAGATATGTCTGTGAGTGTGATTCTGCCGCGAACGCGAATTCGCTTTATTATTAATAGTATCGGTCGCTTTTCTCTCACTCACCTGGAAGTGTCTGTGTTCTCAACCCCTTTGTCCCTCGAGTTTCTTCACATTTCGCATCTCGATAGCAAGTATTTTACACACCCAGTAAGAAATCACTCGGTTTCAGCTCGTCAGCGGTTCGGCACGATCGGTTAAATAAAAATGCCTCGTCGACTCGAGATTGAAATTCTCATCCAGAGCCATTATAAAATCGTTTCGTTTCGAGGGTCGGACGTTCGTATCCATTCGGAGTCGCGCCATTGACGGGAAGACAAAGGGGAACGAAAGCGGACGCTTCGTAGGTTACAATTCATCGGTCGTGCGCGTGAATGAAAGGCCTGGTGTGATTGAAAGCGGAAGCAATACGTGTCGTACGATAGTCGATAGTCTGAATGAAAAAAAAAAAAAAAAAAAAAGAAAGAAGGAAAGAAAGAAAGAATCGCTCGAGTTTAAAGAGAGAGAGAGAGAGAGAGAGAGAGTGAATTTCTGTAGATTCGAGCGAAATTTCTGCAAGTGCCAGTGAGCGTTCGCGAGTCGAATAATTTGAATAAAAAAGCGAAGCAATTGTATCATTGGGAAGATCATCACAGCCGGGTGCGAGTGAAGCAAGATTAAACGATCTGCTGCCGTGCGGCTACCGCGTGCGGGAATAGCAGAGAGAAACGGAGAGCCGAAACGGTCTGCGAAAGAGAAGAGGGAGGATAATAGCAGTCGATAGGAAGAGCAGCCAGGACTTTGTGTTAGTCCCTAGCCGAAGGAAAGGAGGTTCCACCGTCTTCCAGGGCTTGGAATTATGGCAATGGTCAACATGAATAACCTACTGAACGGCAAGGACTCCCGGTGGCTCCAGCTAGAGGTTTGCAGAGAGTTCCAGCGCAACAAGTGCACCAGGCCTGACACGGAGTGCAAGTTCGCCCATCCACCAGCTAACGTCGAGGTGCAGAACGGACGGGTCACTGCTTGCTACGACAGTATCAAGGTAACCAACAACACATTGTGTTACATAATCGAGTTTTCACATATTCTCGCCGGTTTCATCTTCACCCGATGATCCACCTTTATGGCTACTCTCTGTCTCTAACGCTGCTCAGCGTTACTTATGTATCTCTTAAGTCTCTTCTTTCCGTCTTTCGCACACTTTTTTACCCATTTTGACAGTTAGTGCTGTCTTCGACATCATTGTTTTTTAATGCCACGCGATAAAAGTCGATAAAGTAGAAAGTACCTATTCGTGCGCGTGATTTGGGGTGAATTGGAAAGAAAGTAATTTGAAGAGGGAGAGAGAGCTTCGATGTGGCTGACGACGCGCTATAATCGAAACCAAACGCGTTGTAAATTGAGCATCGTGACCAAACGCTGTGGCGCGGTATTTGACACGAAATCTGACGAGCGCGATCATACTGCGTGGCACTAAAACCGGGCGAAATCATTCAGGCTAAATCTGTTTCAATTTCTTCTCGTTGTCCGTTTGAAACAACAAACCGTCGGTTTGGTCCAGCCACACACGGTGGAGGAGAGTAAAATATTTTAATAGCACTGACGCATACGCGCCGAGTGATTCTCGTCGTTCTTACGAACCCTCGAATGCCCCAAATGTCCGTCATTCTCGGTTATTTTTATATTTCGATACGTTTGCGCGATTGATTTGACGACCGAATTGCAAATTTGCGATCCGATTCTATGCTCAGCCGATTTCACGCATTTTCACACTGTCATTGAGGGATTATCAAAATTTTTCATCTTCGACTCGCATGCCGAGAATATCGGTTCGACTCCGCGTAACGAATAGGAACGACTTTTAATAAAGCTGTCGCTGTGGAAACGTCTTGAGCAAATATCGCGTACATAGGAGAAAAAAAGATACGAGAGAGAGAGAGAGAGAGAGAGAGAGAGAGCAGGGCGCGGCTCGAACGTCTCGTGGATATTGAATTCGAGGATTGAGAGTTTGTAGTTACTAATAGCGGCAATTACTCAACGCGTGATCCGATCGGATGAGAAACTACGCGACGAGTTTGACGAATAAGAATCGATCTCACCGATCTGTGCGCGGGGCAGGCCTCGCGGAAAAATTGGAAAATATGCTTCTGCAGAATCGGCCGGACAAGTTTGCGGCAGTTTTATGGAAAATTTCAACGAATACGTGAGCGAACGAGCGCGAACGGTGATTAAGATAAGACGAGAGGAAATTGTCGTCTGACGCGATTGTTTGTTTTGCTATTTTTGAAAGTAGGAAATGGCGAGCCATTCCTCGCGATCGCCGATTTTGACGAAATTTGACTGAAACAAATTTGAAATAAAATGAAAAAAAAAAAAAAAA